TACTTGGCTGAACAGTTAACTCTGTCCCCAGCCCAGAACGTATAGTATTTGCATTGCTTTTCACTCAGTCCTACACATCCTAACAAGAATTTGAAGATTGGAGTACTCCCTACTCATATCACCAGGGAGACGGAGATTTCAGAGACTGAAATTTTCAGTGGGTTTTATGACACCCATGTCCCTGAAAAAGTCAATGGGAGTCAGACACGCACACAACCCTTTGGGTTCCTTTGAAAGTCCCAACTATTTAGAGGCACCAAGCATTTTCATACAGAGATAATTTCCTTTGTGTTAAGTTGAACCAATCAATTGCCCCCCAATCCTCCTTTTCTTTGAGAAAAAAAGGACTTTGGGTTTTGATGAAAATTAATGTTTTAGCTTCTTTTAGCTTCTCTCATGCCTTGGAGTCTCAGAACAGTAGAGACTCCCTATGCCTGAAGAAGCGTGATTGCACCTGAAAGCTTGTTAAAAACTTTTTTTCCAACTACTCGGTCTAATAAAAGATATCACATCTACTCAAAGAACCTTGCCTGTTCATTGAAACATGATTTTTCCCCCTTCACAGGGATATCAAAACAACTTTTTTAATAAAGCCTTTTGAGTTTTCAGTTAAAACATTAAAAAATATATATTAAAAAAATTATAACATTTTGCTAAAAGTATTTTTTTTAATTTATGAGCCTTCATTTCTTTTCTATCCTTAAATATCACTTCCTATCACTGTGCTGGGGATCATATCCCAACATCTTGGAAACTCTCCAGCCTTCAAAAACCTTGTTTCTTTAGAGCAGTTCTACAATATCAGTTGAGTTACAGAAGAGTAAGTTGCCTCCAGACAGAATTTTTGGCATCAGCTACCTGGTTGACTAGCTGCTACAGACCTTGCAACACTTTGGAGAAGGAGGACTGCAGACAAATTAAGGATGATTTGGTCCATCTTTTTCTAAACCTTTGATTAATCCCTAGCAGATGGAAATCAAGAGGATGTTGTACCTACTCCCCTGTGTCCTATGTGATTTTCCTTTCTTTTTTCTCCCCTCCTGTTTCCTTATCATTCTTCTCTTCTGCCTTTTATTATATTTTGACCCATTACTTTCCACTCGTACCAACATGCATAAAAGATACTTTTTGGAGATTTGAATAAAATCAAACCATGTTCACAATTTCCCTTGAAAAGTGGTAATCTTTTGGATCAGCTTTTAGCACTTACTTGGAACTACAGACAAAGTTGTCCCACTCCCAAAGAGCAGCTTCCCCATGTTAGAACTCCCTTGTACACAATGGTCCTCCCCTTTACGAGAACCCCTCCTAGCCTCTCCCTCCATGTGCCCAATCTCTCTCTCAATAAGCTAAAGAGAGGAAGGATGGTTCTGTCTAGCGACCCAGGTGCTCACCTGAAATTTAGGAAACCTGTATCAAATTCTTTGCTTTCTCCCAGACTCCCTCTATCACCTTCAGCAAGCCAGTTCACTTCACTTTGCATCAGTTTCCAATCAACTGAGAAGTGTAACAACACTTACCACCCTTACGAGTGTATCACAAGGATAAGGGGTTTAGGTTGTAGCCGTGTTGGTCTAAGGATAAGGTCACAAGGATAAGTACACTACTATTCGCAAGGTGATCAGATACTACAGTAACAAGGCCTATAGAAGTACCATGGTTAGATTTTGTCCAATATGGAAAATTCATCATGCCAGTTTTCCAAACACTTCTTATAAAGGTGCATCTCACCCTACCTCAGTACATAGAGATGCTCTCTCAAAGTCCTTTGAAGCCCTGTGTTTCTTTGATTGCATAACCACAGGAAAACAGGACAGGATGGGATCTCTATGGATCACCCAGTCCAGCCCCCTCCCCTTGCAGGCAGAACATCATAGGATCCTGTTCCATAAACTGATTGAGCTCCATTTCTTGCTTCCATAGCTTCTACCAGGCGGCTACCAGAACCTCCCCATTCTGCTGGTTAGGAACCTTCTTCCAACCCCTCCATTTCGAGTTTATTAATTGATAATATATTTCCACATGACCTTGTGGCATCATTGTTCTTAACCTGTGACAGATCAGGAGGGTGGATATTGATGTATCTGGATCCACCTTCTCTCCCATCTCAACTTTCATTATTCTACATGAGACAAGTCAAGCTCTTTCATTTCTTATATGGCAGGCCATCCCTCCCCCTAATCACCCTAGCACCCTTCTCTGAACCTGCCCTAAGGGAAGAGATAAAGACTATAGATTCATTTAATTTTCCCTAGCATTTCTGTAGAATAAATGTAAGGAGTTTTCTGCACCTTAAAAACAGTTCATAGTGAAGGTGTCCTAGCATAGTTTCCTCCCCTCAACCTTTTGTTCAAATGACTTGAAATTACACCCTGAATTTCTAACCCAGGTCTTAAAGCAACTGGCAGATCTCATGGAGATGATTTTTCTCAGTCGCAGAATTTAAATAAAAATGCATCCACAATCCTAGAGGAAAAACATGGATCCATAACCCAGGTTGTTAAAATTACCTCCACCACTGAAATATCCAAGCTCTTTAATGAATTAAATCATCCATATATCAGGCCTACACCCTCCCTGCCTTTTTTTTTGCTAAAATAAACACAATTTCTAACCAAAGAACATTGCTCTTGACTTGCAAAAAAAGGGTTTATTAATTCCATTGCATTTATGAGATTCATAGATTGAGATTTTCCCATGCTGAATGACTTGATCATAAGATTCCCCCCACAACCCCATTCTTGCTGGTGGATCTGAAAATTAAATCCATCTGGTTTTAGCCCAGTAGGGACCATAATCATCAACTAAACTGCTATCCCTAATATAATATAATTTCACCCAATGAATGCCATTTTTCTGTTTGGGCAAAAGCATCTCTTTTAGAAAGGAGACATTCATTAGGATTTAAAGATGCTGAGAGATGGTGAGGCATTCCATTGCTCCACTCTGAGTTTCTTCCAGCACAGGATTATCCTCACTATGAGAAACACCTCTTATTTCCACTATAATTTCCCCTCTCCAGCCATTTAATCTAGTCACAGTTTTGTAGCTGGGATTAATGAAAGATGTTTAAGAAGACCCACTGCCTTAGAAATACATCTGAACAAATCCAAGAAAGAAACAAGGCAGAAAGGAACCAGGCGCTTAACTATGTACTCTTCAGTCACTACCCATGCTGGTAATTCCTCTTTGACAAATGGAGCTTCTTCCCTCTGGCTTTTAGAGGCTGCATACTTTGCTGAGCTGCTTAACTCTCTTTTTCCTTCCCCTTTTATGTTTAATATAAAAGAAGAAATAACGACTTACTTGGTTTAACAATAACCTTGGTGCCAGCCCCAAAGGTTAATTTGTCATAGGTTCCATACACAGTGTTTGCACGTCTTACAAAAAGTGCAAAGCTTTCTAAAGAGGTGAGGGTTTCCAAAGGGATTCGAAGACACACAGCAGGTGGATTATTCCAGAGTTACCCACCACAAAAAATATCCAAGCCTTCCCTTGAAGCCCCTGAGAATGATAAATTCTACTTGAGCCTATCATCACAACACCAGCACCGATACTTACTGGGTCTAACCAGGAGCCTCGTACCGCTGCCAAAGATGAGCTTACTGACACCATCATTCACACACTGTTTTCCACTACAGCAAAAACCTCTAGAAGAACAGCACCAGCAAGGAGAATGGCCCCCATACAACTGAGACATGGGTGAGGATTCTCCAGTCATGAGGCCAGCCAAACTTTGCATGGACTTTTCCCAAGTATCCTGAGATAACTAGATGGGCTGAGATCCCCATAAGAATCTAAGGATAAAAGCAGATGGGCAAAGCCTTTTATCTTGGGATTCAACAGATGGCCAACCCTGCTAAGGACCTGTGACATATCCGAATTGAACAGAAGTTTAGGTTAGATATTAGCAACCACTCTCTCACTAGGAGGGGAGTAAAACGCTGGAACAGGTTACCCAGAGAGGTGGTAGAATCATCATCCCCGGAGATTTTTAAGACCCATATAGACAAAGCCTTGGCTGGGATGCTATAGTTGGGGATGGTCCTGCTTTGATCAGGTGATTGGAATAGATGACCTCCTGAGGTCCTTCCAACCCTCATTACTATGATTCTAATTAACACAATAGCATCTAATTCAAGTTAATTGCTGTTCAAACTGCATTTACAATAATTGTCCCCCCCACACCTATTATAATGCCAGCCAAATCAGCCCCAGATTAAACCTGATTTTAGGCTAAAGAAATTAAGGACCTAATCCACGTTAGCCCCTGTAAAAGTTCCCATCCAGGAGAGGCTAGGAATGGATCTAACCTAATGGATCTAATGTACTGGATCTAACCCAGGGCAAAGGGGTGGCTGAACTGAGAAGGTAGAGAGGGGATAGGATTAATTTGTGTAAGCCTGAATCAAAAACTGTTTCCAAGTTCTCTCACCAGAAGCAAAACTCCCCATAATTTACCTAAGTTTGAAGTGTTTTGTTCTACCCAAAACAAAGCATCTCATTTCATTTTCATTTCAGTTTTTTAAAACCTTGCTGGGGTCATCTGACCCCAACAGTCTTTCCTGCCCAAGTGCAGGGGGGCTGGACCTGATGATCTGTAAGGTCCCTTCCAGCCCCTAACATCTATGAAACTATGAAATTAGATTAAATATATTTGATTGTGAAACAAGGTTGCAAGTAAGAACCAGCTCATTTAAAAATGTTGAAACAAAATACCAAATTCTACATCTTTCCTCTCCATATGTTTGGCCATAACTGCTCATAATTTTGATCTGAATTTGCAGATAGTTTTGGTCAAATAAATGATTGCTGATTAATGTTTATTAATAACAATAATGAATTATTCAACTGAATAATTTTGCGCAGTTTTGCTTCAGACAGCAGGTTCCCATTAGATTAGATCCTATATAGATAAAAATCACCAGCTGTTTTCCAGAGGCTCACGATGAATAAAGCATTAATGACAACAAAATCCTAGATGAAGGCAAAACACTTACTTGGTCTAACAGACAGCATAGTCCCAGAGCCAAAGAGGAGCTTGTAGTTTCCTCCTATAGTCACACAGTGTTTCCCTTCAGAACAAAAACCCTTTAATATACCTGGCAAACATGGGGATGATTCTGAAACGCAGGAACTGAGCCTTGCAGTAAGGCATTTTTCAGGTCCTCTCTACCCTCACTATAGTGGAAGCCAGACAATACTTCTTGCCTCAACTTCTCCCAAACTCACATTTTAGATTAATGAACAAAAGATCCTCAAACTTTAAAAACAGACAAGCCAGAAAACCACTGCTCAGGAAATCTGATCTACCATGGAGTAGGAAGGGAACTGGATTACGCTTACTTGGCAGCACAAGAAGCCTTGTCCCACTTCCAAATGTTGTTCTGTCATTGTAGTTCACACAGTAGTTCTGAGCCCAACAAAAACTTCAGTTCATCTACAAGCCTTTCTAGAGAAAGACTTCACAGATATGTCAAGATATTTTCCTCTAGTGCCCTTGGTCTAGGTCTAACACACTTCCATCACTAGAGGCTGTGAGTTCAAATACCTTGGAAAGGGAGGGGGTCTTTGGGGCATGGAGTGAAAAATAATTTTTATTAATAAATGCAAGAGGCAAGAATTCTTGTGGGTGTTATTCCAGCTGCATGGTTGGGGCAGATAGAGACAAGCTTTTGGGTATCACAGTAACCTTCCTCAGAACAAAAGCTTGTGCAAAAGCAAGATTGCTTTGTTCCCTGCTACTTAGCTCTGTCATTGCCCTGATAAAAGATACCATTCATAAGAATTCTTGCCTTGCACATATTTCCTGGACCATCACAGCGATGTCACCTCAACACTTTCATTAATAAAGACAGCCTGGAAGCTGGGAACATTCTCACCTATTAGAGCAATGAGGTTTTGTAATGGCCTTTCATCAAAACAGTGAGGGTAAAAATCCTAGTTACTTTAATATGGGTTTCCACTGGTTTATGACAGACTGCAATAGGGTTTATTTTAATAGCAGGGGCCAAAAGGGTCCCAGCTTGTCCTATATTGTTATCTTTTTGCCTATTATGGATAGTGATCCTTACACTGGGGATTAATTTAGTAGCTGGTGAAAGTCATGATAGTTTAATTGAGGTACAAGAAGTCATAAGTTAAAGACAGGCACTCAGAGTCAGCTCTAGGAGGGAAGAGGAGTTTAGTGGTTACTCAGATAGTTTGAAATGTTTCTTTTCTCTGTTTAAGTTAATTAAGCACAAAAAACACACTCTGCCCTTCTTTGTAAGTGTGCTGCGAGATCTTTTTAAGGATGCTGTGCAATATTAGCGCAGTTAGGAATGCAAACGCCTGCACATGAATCACAAGATAAACCCAGAGTTTTCAAACAGAGATCCAAAGGGTCAAGAACATTTTGACCTGATGTGGTCTGACTTCTTTGCAACAGAATTGTTCTATTCTTTTTTCATCTTCAAAAAATGAATGCTATTTTCCAAGGAAGGTCTTGCACCTAACAAGGTGTGTCTTTAGTCTGAAAATGTTGAAAATTACTATTCTAAGGATTTTCAAGGAGAGGTTGTATACTGTACTTGTGAGTCAAACTTCTGACCTGCTCACACTGCCTGTCCTAGGCACCCAATTAAAAAAATACAACAAACCATCAGTTCAGTCCACTCCTTAGAAATGAAATGCACTTATTTAAAATGGTTCTCTCTTGCACTACAAAAAGCCACTTACTTGGCCTCACGACCAATCCTGTTCCTTTCCCAAATGTCACCTTATCGTTGCCCAGATTCACACAGTAATTTGCACCACAGCAAAAATACCGGCTGCCCTTAGAACCTGTGAAAGCACCCTGAGAATGGTTTCTAGATTTTCCTTACCAGCCTTATATTTTTAAAATCAAAATTATTGTTTTTGAAAGGTTTCTGGGGCCAGGTCGGCAACTGGCTTGACATGGATGGAACTATGTTGGTTTACGGTATGTGAGGACTTGCTCATTTTTCATCTGAAATAAAAGTCATTTCTGGAAGCAATGCAAGATATTGTTTAGACCAAGAACTCATCAGGAGTCAAGACTGGACATTTGTTAGGAAGATTAAAACAATCCAGAGTTACAAAAGACAGAAGAGAGGTACAGATGGGATGCAGAACCTCCCCAGACTAAATAGGGTGGGATTTTGATACTAATAGGCAGAACTGTGGGGAAAAAAATACCCAGAAAACTATAACAATCTCACTTAAAACATCTCTATTGCTCAACTGGGGCAAATTAGGAACACGGGAATGAGAGGGACTCCTTGTTCGTTGAGTCTAGCCGGCTGCTATCATGGGCAATAGTATTATATGGTCTTGCTAATAAATTTAAAATCAGGCTCCCTTCTTTTTGTTAAGCCAGAGATCAAAGCAATTGAACAAGATGATCCTTAGGGATAGATCATCAAAATAAGATCAGTGCTACACAACTTTATGAGATGGTCCAAATGCCTCAGAGAGACTGGGGAACTTGTGTGAAAACAGTGGGTTATCTCAGATAATCACCTCAAAATGTCATCATCTTTAGGAAATCTCGTTTCTATTTGTTCATCAAATACTGAATGAAAGGGGGAAAAAAAATCACTCACTGGGTTTTATCAGAAGTTGAGTTCCATGTCCAAAGATCAGTTTGCCTGCAGTATTACTTACACAGTGCTTATTCTCTTAGCAAAAACTGAGATTTCTCACCTAGCACCAAAACTATTGTTTCCTCCAATAATCAACCTTAACTGTGTTTTTGAGAGCAGGTCAAAAACTGTCCTTTGTTTCCATGGGAAATTTTAGGGAGGGAAACAGAACAATTTCCCCAAACTTCTTCCATTTTTTTCCAGATTTATATGGGAAAAAATTAAATCATTCAGATTTCAAACATTATTTTCCATTTTTCAAACACCAAATCTAGTAGGCAAACTAGTTGAGAGGTTTACAAAAATATTTAGGTTTCTGTATTTTTCATTTTGATAGAGCAAAATAAAAAATGTTGTGTAAAGAGTTTCATTTTGGTCAAAACATAGAACTGTTTGAAAAAATGGATTTAATTGAAAACCTTTTTACTTAACATTTTTTCTTTTTTTTTCAAATTCACCTTCAGTACTGTATATTGTATTGAAATGAGAGGTGACAGCATTTTATGATGCTAACACTAAGGAGCACTAGCCATGAACCAGAAGCCCATTTTGGAAGATGGGATACAAACACGGAAGAGAAAGGAGACACTTTCCCCAAAGAGTTTCCTATCTAAATATAAGCCAAGAAACATAAGGATACAGAAAGAGGAGCAACTGGATACAACTGAGCCACATCTAATCCCCCTTACAGAATATGGCTAATGGATTCCTGGTTCCTTTATTCAAATCAAAGTGACTTTTTCAAATCCATCATACTGTTCAACTACCATCCTCTCCCTGGAAGGAGTATCAAGAAAAGGCTTATGCTTCATGTAAGAGTCACTTCAACCCTCAACTAATATTCAGGTGTTTCACGCTGGTCATCAAGACACAGATTTGAATCAAGTCCACCTTGATGACCGTTCCTGGAGGACAAATGATATTCCTAACAAAGTATGGTTAATATAATGAAAAGACAAGGAAGTCAACTTACTTGGAAGGATGACCAGTCTTGTTCCGCTTCCAAATGTTATTTTACCATACCCGCCTGTAATCACACAGTGTTTCCTGCCTTGGCAAAAAGCTATCTTTCACTAAGAGAAAGGGGTATATCTTATAACAGAAATTATTGAAGGAAAGTATGGGATTTTCAAAGGAATACCGGAGAATTCAGGAGGAGTTACTAGTGTTGATCCCTCAGGGTCCTTTGATGAACATACCGTGTATTTTGGGGGCAAAAAGTTCTGATCCAAGTTGTACAAAGGATTACAGAGCTCTGTTGATTTCAATGGAGTGACTGCCATTTATTCAGAATTTTTTTCTCCCCTACAAAAAATGAATCTATTCAAAACCTCTTATGTACCTTAGGAAATCTCACCCTTCCTAGCTCTGGGTGTCGGCTCTCCTGCCAGTAGGGATTCTCACACACTTTGTCCATTGACTCTGCAGGCTCCTCGAGGAGCTGCTCCTAATTTGTTCCCACACTACAGCTTGGCCCCAGTTCCCCCTTGGTATGCAATAAGAAGGAATGGCATCCTAGGAGAAGTGGAAGAAATCCTGAAATGCCAGAAATAGAGGAGCGGATCTGGTTACTGGCCAATGCTGCACAACAGGGAACAATTCTGCTCTTCTCAGAGGGAAGACTGGAATGTAAGCCAGGCAGGAACCTCCGGAGTTGACAACTCCAGTGTCTGGCTTTTGAAGCCAAGCACATCATATAGTTTCATAGTTTCATAGTTGTTAGGGGCTGGAAGGGACCTTACAGATCCTCGGGTCCATCTCCCTTGCACTTAGGCAGGAAAGACCGCTGGGATCAGATGCCTCCCAAGACGCCTCCATATACTGCCTCCAAAAATGACCTAAGCTCCATCTTAACATAAGCTGAAAGATGACTTTGCTGCTTAGCTCCTGTCATTCTGTTCCCACCAATAATTGAAGTTTGGCTATTAGGTTCTGTGTCAAACAAAACCACTTACTTGGTAGCACAAGAAGCTTGGTGCCATCTCCAAAGATCATCTTACCAATGCCACCTCCAGTGTTCACACAGCAACACACAGCCTTACAATAACCACGTGAAAGACACAGAACATTTTTCTTCTAATGACTATCACACAAAATTGTTATAGTTACAGAGGAATTTAAATTTTAGGGCCAGGATTCCATGATCATGTAGAACAATGTCATTCCATTGTGGTCCCCAGAGCTGAAGATCCAGTCATCAGATTGGACAATGACATTTGGGTAAACCAGATGTGCACAGCAGTGAGAACTAGAGATACAACAACGGGGAAGACACTAAGCTATGAACAGGGACAACAAAAAAGGCTAGGCTATATTCATGGTTGGGTTGTGACTGTTTTGATGCACTAATACAAAAGTTAATGATTGCAAATAAAGAGGTAAAAGAAAGACATTTTCCATCAAA